TGAAAGACCAGTTTCAGTGAGGTGTTTATATCCTTCTTGGTAATAGGTATACTGTGTTTGTGTGTGTTTGATACGGAGCATAACTCTCCATATTTTAGTTAGAGGTTGTTCAAGATATTATTTACTTTTAATATACAGTTTCATACTCCCCTGCAGTGCTGATGACAGTGTTGCTGACACTGGCAATGACAGTCCCTGTGCTCATGGTTATCATGGGTAAGTGAGACTATTCTGGCGTCAACGCACCTTCACCAATGCGCGTTAGAATGAGCTCCTTTCGCCGCATCCATTCCCGAGAGCGAATTCAAGGAGCGCCAAAACCCACTGGCTTATGTTGTCTTAGGGAAGACCTGTCGCTTTGAATTTGTCTAATGTCTCATTTAACATGCATGTCTGTGCAATGATGTTTTCTGCATTCCGTATTCCATCCTTATTGCAGTTTTGCTACAGAATCTGACTAAAATGTACACCTGTACATGGTAACTAAGCTACTACGATCGAAGGTTACCTGATGTAGGATACAGACACTGAACTGTGCGTGGTGGCATTTCCTTCGTCTCGTAAAGCTTTTCTATGTAACGTCTTATTGTAATTTGCCGTTTGATGTTGTCCCAGCACTTTTGCTTCCAGCTAAATTGTAGATAGCCAATAGATTTGTGTAGAGTTCTGATGTGTTTTTAGAATTATCTATTTGTTGTGCTGTATTTTATTATGAGATCAAAGAGTGTGGCGCAAGGCTGTGTGCAGGTGTACTCGGGTGCATAATATCCATTCAGTGTAAAAGAAAAATGTTGAATCTATTAGTGTGTTCAGTCACTTTGAATTTGCTTGACTGTTCCTGCAGCTCCTGGAAATCTGTGGCTTCAGATTTATTTGATTAAGTAATGTGTATCTGTAATGATTCAACATTATCTTTTGCTTGACATTTTGGACCAGTGTCTTGCGTCGACATGTCTTTTGGTCAGAGCAGTCGTCATGGAAAGTCTCCGTATTCTAATGACAGTTAGAATATGTGGATTGCTGTCCGTAGAATACACTTTTAGTAACTTCATACGCACCAGACATGGCAGGCGGCGTCAAAGGACATTAACAGTGGCCGGTGTGGTTGGTTTGCAGCTGTTCATGATTCCCGACGTTAAGTTCTCTTCGGATTCTTTCTCAAAGGTCGGTTGCAGGAGAAGGATTCGAAGTGAGGGGGGGGGGTGATCACGCCGCCCCTCCGCCCTCTGTAAGAACACCTAATATTCAGCAAATTACTACGGGTGAAAAACGAAACAGATCATAATCGCCGGGCGGTGATAGATCTTGGGGGAAAATGTGATATATTGTCGTTATCCGTAAGATAAATCTTATACTTTTGTAACAGTAAGACAGCATGTCAGTTTTCTAATATTAGTACATGTACTTTCATGATTCACATTCAAATCGGAAGAAGCAAATTCGAGCCCCTTGATCCTTTCCCAACAGAACTAATCCTAAATGTCGAGCACCATTAATTGGATTGTATAAATAGGTCGATGAGTATGCAAAATTAAGAGCAACGAATAAAGGCCAGCTATATATATATATACTATATGATCTCTACCTGATACAGGTTCTAAGCAAGGTCTGCTCTTTAGAAAACAAGAGAGGAGCTTTTTGTGTTTATTTTCTTTACTTGATTATGGTGTTGCTCAGGTCTGAGAACGCCGCGTGTTTCCTTCCAAAATATCATCAAATAAAAACACCATTGCGGAGGTTTAAGAGACAATTCAGGGCATTTTATCAAGAGCATGACGTATAAATACCGTTTGTTTCTTCATTAACAGAACACTGTAAAGTTATTAGTGTCCATACGATTTCACTGATAATATTCCACTGGCAAATGGAATGACCCTTACGATACAGCGCATACAGTCTTGAATTGCTTTATCGACGTTAAATAAAAGTGCGATTCACGAATGGGAGGTGTGTTATCCAAATGGAAATGGCAAAATGTGTATGTAAAAACTGTAATGCAGCATTACTCTGTCCATATATATATATATATATATATATATATATATATATATATATATATATATATATATATATATATATAAGATGCTACATTGCACAGTTTTACATTCACATTATTGTGATTTCCCGGTAATTTTCTATATTACCTTCGCCTCACCGATATCGACGATTTTGGTATCGTTAGATTCCTCTCACTCTATACAATGCAAATATGTAGGTTTTATTGCGCGGAAGCCCCCCGTTAGCGAGAAACGGCCCCGATTGCAAGAGAGGGCATGGAAGGTTCTAGAGAAAATCGAGGTTAAATAACACTAATAATATAACCCACAGTGAAAATATCCATGGTTATTCATATGACTTTCCATTGCAGGGGACTGCGCCCCTTGCGACCCCTATGGGGGGGGGGGGCAGCCGCCCCCTAACCCCCGCCGAGGAAACAAAACCTCCACCACGTTTTCCCGGCAGGCTAGAGTGTTACACAATTCTCGTCGATCGCGGAGCG